ATTGCCCAGATTTTGCCCTCCTCAAATTTTCTTATTTAATGGAGGAAGATTCCATTGCCTTATTCTGAATTTTAGAGTACTTTTTTTCTCTCAAGATTTCCCCTGTGTTAAGTTCTAGAGTTGAGCTAACCAATATGGTAGCAACTAGCTACATGCAACTATTTAAATATAAATTAGTTAAAACTGAATAAAACTAAAAATCAGTTCCTCTGTTGTAATCACCACATTTTAAGTGCCCAATAGCTACACGTAGCTAGTGGCTATGTGGTGTACAATACAGATATAGAACATTTCCAATATCACAGAAAGTTCTATTGGATAGTACAGATCTAGAGATTCTTCACTGTCTTTGCACAGATAAGCTTGTTATCTATCATCTGATTAACTACAGTGATAATTATAGATTCTTAAAGAACATTTTTTGCAAGTTCTTGGTATATTCATAATGGTGGCTGTATATTTTTATGACAATGGCCTATTGTCTTGTTACAAATAGTTGTGGTCAGACAGTTTAATAATACAATTAGCCTTATATGTTAACATATGTGAAAACAATTTCACATATGTTATTTTATTTAAATCAGCAATCCTGTACAGTAAGTCCTCATTGAACATTGTCAGTAGGTTCTTGGACATCTGTAACATATAACAAAACCTATATTACCATAGGCTAATTGATTTAAACAAGAATTAGGTTCCTATGACATATTTCTGGTCACAAAAACATCACCAAACTTCTAAATGAAGACCAAAACACTTATACTATTAAACAATGAAATAAGTATGAGCTATATATCCATTTGAGAAAGTTTTATAAAAACAAGTAAAATAATTATTTTCCCAATTTTTGGTAAATCAGCAAGTGATAGCAGCTCTAGTGGTGGTGGAGTTCAATCAAGGAGTAAATGTTTGCAAAGCAAAAATTGTAAGGGACGCTTCCCACCACACAATTCAAAATCAATTACAATACAATAGGTTCACTGAGCATTTTTCTTTTTTAAAAATTTTTTAAATTATACTTTAAGTTCTAGGGTACATGTGCACAACGTGCAGGTTTGTTACATATGTATACATGTGCCATGTTGGTGTGCTGCACCCATTAACTCGTCGTTTACATTAGGTATATCTCCTAATGCTATCCCTACCCCTCCCACCACCCCATGACAGGCCCCGATGTGTGATGTTCCCCTTCCTGTGTCCAAGTGTTCTCATTGTTCAATTCCCACCTATGAGTGAGAACATGCGGTGTTTGGTTTTCTGTTCTTGCGATAGTTTGCTGAGAATGATGGTTTCCAGCTGCATCCATGTCCCTACAAAGGACGGGAACTCATCCTTTTTCAAGGCTGCATAGTATTCCATGGTGTATATGTGCCACATTTTCTTAATCCAGTCTGTCATTGATGGACATTTGGGTTGGGTCCAAGTCTTTGCTACTGTGAGTAGTGCCACAATAAACATACGTGTGCATGTGCCTTTATAGCAGCATGATTTATAATCCTTTGGGTATATACCCAGTAATGGGATGGCTGGGTCAAATGGTATTTCTAGTTCTAGATCCTTGAGGAATCGCCACACTGTCTGCCACAATGGTTGAACTAGTTTACAGTCCCACCAACAGTGTAAAAGTGTTCCTATTTCTCCACATCCTCTCCAGCACCTGTTGTTTCCTGACTTTTTAATGATTGCCATTCTAACTGGTGTGAGGTGGTATCTCTTTGTGGTTGTTGATGGCGAGTGATGATGAGCATTTTTTCGTGTGTCTGTTGGCTACATAAATGTCTTCTTTTGAGAAATGTCTGTTCATGTCCTTCGCTGACTTTTTGATGGGATTGTTTGTTTTTTTCTTGTAAATTTGTTTGAGTTCTTTGTAGGTTCTGTATATCAGCCCTTTGTCAGATGAGTAGATTGCAAAAATTTTCTCCCATTCTGTAGGTTGCCTGTTCACTCTGATGGTAGTTTCTTTTGCACTGAGCATTTTTCTACCACATTACTTATTACTGTGCATTTATATGAAATTGAATACTTCATACTTTTATTTTATAATACTTCATATTCATTAATTCATTTTCCAACCAGCTTAATCCAATTCAAGGCTGTGGATGGCTGGAGCCTCTCCTGGCAGCTCAGGGCATAAGGCATGAACTCACCCTGGACAGAAACCACCCCATTGCAGGGCACACTCACACTCATACCCACCATAACTCAGTCTGGGACCATGCAGACATGCCAGTTCACCTCACTTGCACTTTTTAGGATGTGGGAGGAAACCAGAGTATCCACAGAAAACCCACACAGATATGTGGGGAACGTGCAAACTCCACAGACAGTGACCCTGACCAGGAATTGATTTTTTTTCTTATTAGTGTTACAACAAAATCATGTTGAATGAAAGAACATTATTTTGATGACATCCTGTACATTTAAAAAGTATAATTATCCCTATTCCACAGATAGGTAAACTGACGCTCAGAAGAATTAAGTAATTTCATAATAATCCCTAAAAATAAAAGTAATAATTAAAACAATAATGAACACTTATTGCCAGGCAGTGTTCAGAGTATTATACATGTATTAACTCATTTAATCTCCAAAAAAACTTTAATATATAACTCTTAAGAGATAAGAAAAACTACTATTTTTTTTTTCTTATGAGAAAACCAAGACACAGAAATTTTCTCTTAAAGAGATTTTTACGGTAAACATCAATATTTTGGGAAAAATTGCTCAACTTCTCTTAGCCTCAGTTTGCGTCTCTATAAAATGAGTATTATGTAAACAATCTCATAGAGCACACATATCAATCAGTTTTTGTTTGGTTATGTTATGATTCCAAATAATCCCGAAATCTCAATGATTTACTAGTGAGTTTTGTGTGTGTGTGTGTGTGTGTGTGTGTGTGTTGGTGGCTTGACTCTCATATCTTATTCTAGAGATTAGGCTAAGGAGCTGATCCTATCTAGGACACATTTTCAGGGCAGAGGAAAAGAGAAAGAGCTGGCAGAAACATACAGTGGTTTCTAATTTCTTCTTAGAATTGGCACAGTATTACACTGTTCACATTTTAACTGGCAAGTCATGTGGCCAACCTTGATGACACCATGTCCTCTTTCACAAGGAAACCCATCAAGTCGGATGGCAGTGGTCTAGGATGATTTTCTTACAGGGAAGAGGGAACTGTGCTTGGGACAAGCATTACAATCTGCCACAGTATGGATTAAATATAATGATATATAAAGACCTAATTCAGTGCTTGACATCTAGAAGTTCACCACAGTTATAGTTATGATTTCCTTTTTCCCTCCTTTTAATGCATTCAGGTAAATCTTAGAACTTTGAGACAAAGTACCGATTATAAAACTGACCTCTGACAATTATTCTTTCCTCCTTTTCCAGGAAAGCTTTAGTTACACTTTGCATCATTAAGCATGTATTAATACTTGGACTGATACAAGGAAGACTTAGAAAAAATTTCAGATTTTTTTCAGAATTAAATTTATTTCACATTGATAAAAACCATGAAAAACATTTACATTTTCCCACATTACTGCACAACATTTCAATGGAATATTTCTTGCCATAGATAATATTTTGCTCATCTGTAGAGCTGAAACAACAGTTTATATTCTTCAAGATAAAGAAAAATGGCATGTTTAAAATTTTTAAATCCAGACAATGACATTTGGCTTCATTATTACCATCCTACATAGTCCATTACTAAATTATTTTCATTATCGATTAGCACCAATTTATAAAAATGCATTCTTAATATTGGTTTGGTCAGCTGGAATATAGCAGAAAAATTAACACAGTTCAGAAATATCAAGCATACATTTTTGCTGCATATTAATCTGTGCAGTAACTACATCTTATGTATAGGGCTCTGACTAGCCTTTATTACCCATAAGTTTGCTTTCAAATAATTTTTACCAGTAATCTGAAAATTTTGACAATTTAAAATGATTACTATTTTTATGTTTACATGAAAAACTAATATAAAAAATAATTTGACTAAAGTGAAAATTTCAAATAAGTCCACTGGCAGATGAAAATAAAACAAAAAATTACAATGGATTTCTCATCTTCTATAGTAGTTGGTTTCAAACATGTGTAAAAAGTAAATTCTATGCTATGAGACGATGAAATCATCTTAGAAATTAGTTTCTAAGATCAGTCTTAAAGATATTTCAGAATATACTAGAATATGATCTAATTATTCTTTCAGTTGTTTATAGAAAAATAAAACCACAGAATTATTCCTGTTACCTGGGTTGAAGATCCTAATAACTAAATAGGTGTAAATTTGGATAAGGTATAATAATTTGAAATAAGAGTGGATAATATCTGGTTTCTCTATGAAGCATAAGTAGATTTTAGATACCTTATATCTGTGACTCAGAATGTCAAATTACAGCATGTATTGGTAGTAGTTATCTATGGCAGAGAGGTAATATTTGGTCTGCTATGAAGGACAATAAAGAACGAATGAACTTTTTTTTTCCTTGAGAGAAAAGAATATTAAATAGAAATAATATCAAGGAAAAAAATGCCTGGTCCCAAAATAAAAGAGTCATTAATTGAAAACAACAATTTTACTCTTTTTTGACAATGAACAGCATTATCCATATTATTAGGAATAATGTAATACCACCTCATTATGTATTATAATCATTATGTATATGTGAATACGTATATAAAAATACAGACACTGCATGGTCACTAAGCAATTTTGGAATAAATCCATAGACTAAGTCACAACATGCATAAATTGTTTACATCTTAACTGCCTATTTATACCTGAACAAATTTTCAATAAGTATACTGCTAATTTTCAAATGATGTAATAAAAAATCTGGTGGTAGTACTGTATTATTTTGCTGAATTACATTTGAGAAAAAAGAAGCTACCTGCTGCATCTATTTTAACATAGTATATCATGGATCTTCTTATAAGAATACATGTATGGAAACTTAAAAGGTCATAAATTTCTGATGAGGGGAGACATTATTTGATCTGTCATTGGTGTGTATTTGCAAAACATTTTAACACTGCAAACATTAGAAATTTGAAGATTGGGCATTGGAAAAGGTTTATACTCTACTACAGTGATGCTGGTGTACTTCTACACAAGGCCTCTGAGTGATGTCAATCAATTGGAGGTAGGAGATTATCAATGAATTGCTTGACATCCATCATTTCCTGTTGACACGAACTATGCATCATACTTTAAAACCTATGAAGGTTTTACCAATGTTTTTAGTTTTTCAACCGTAAGAGAACCAAACACCAGGGGAACTAACGGGTCACAATCTCTGTGGCACTGGAAAATAGAAATATCTCTATTAGCGCCACTGATAGGACCCTGTGGAAATGAAGCCCGAAATAGAAACCAGCATCTGAACGCAGTGACACCCGTCAGTTTCTGCTGCGTGGTAAGGACAGTATATAAAGATAAAGCTCCTCCCTGAGAAAATCCTCCCAAAATAATTCTGTTAGAAGGAATGCCATTTTTCACTTCTTGATCAATGAAAGCCTTTATATTTTCAACTGCCTGTTTAATCCCAGGTTCATCCTCTTGTGAATCTGGTGAAAGCCCAATAATATCAGACCATGAAGGCACAGCCATGTTCATATTTAATGTAAAGGCGTAACAGGCGGGGCATGCGGGCAGATATATTTGATATGTGAACTTCTGATACCTGCAAAGGCTTCTGTCCATCCATGCCCAGTATCTCCCAAGCCGTGAAGGAAAATCACCGCGGCGGTGGCCTTCCAGGCGGCGGGCATGATGGCTGGCAGCCGGGCTGACATGTTGTTTCTGCACATACACCGGCTCAGCTCGCAGCGCAAGCGGAAGGAAGGGCGGGCGCCCGGCCGCGGCCCAAGGGCGTGTGAACGGCCAGATTGTTTTTGTAGTGGCTTTTACTGACCTAGTGCTATGTAGTGTATTTATTTATTTAAATATTTATTTATAAATAAAGAAAACTTTACAATTGGTTAGATATTATTTCGAAGCATGTAAGCTGGTTTGTGTAATGAGTATGAAATTATGAAATAAATAAAACTAAGTGGGAAGAAAACTATAACTATCTGGATGAGTTCTGTGTCTCATAAAAGAGTTTGTTTAAAAATGCCCTTTGCTGTGGTTGCTTTAAATTAGTTGGTTTTGTTGTTTGGGCTTCAAATAATGGGTTTATATACAGGGAAGTAGTTTTTATTTCACATATTCCATAATAATGTGGTTCATATCAATATAAACATCATGTAGTTCTCAAAGTCAATAGTTAATTTCCTCATACTGATTTGTGATTTTGAACACACACACACACACACACACACACACCAAAGTTATATATAAACAAGGTTTTACCCTATAATGTATGCATAATGCTTAGCCTGAAAGACTATTTTCTACCACGGAAAGAGTTTAATGAATAAAGTAGAACTGTTCGAAAATGAGTAAAAGTGTTAGTCCACTATAAACATGTTTTGTTAGATAAATTCAAATATTTATATTTGACAATTTTGAGTATATTGATTCTAGAATAGAGACTATATGAAGGATGTCAAGGCAATCATTTGCCACACTGTAAGTAATTACTTCTTTATACTTTGTTTTCACAGACTGTCTTATTTCAGGAGAATTTTTATTTCTGAAATCATTGATCAGTGTTATTATTCCTGCCATTTAAATGAGCTGCAGATATTTTCTTGGTTAAAGTGATATAGTGACAAGATTTTGTAGTGTAGCCCATTCTTTTAGGGATAAAGATATTTATACATCACTTTCTGCCAACATAACATTTTCCATACTGACTTCTGTTGTTGCCTGTTACATGTTCATTCAAAGGCAAGAAAAGCGCAGCAAATCTGTCTATAAGAGTATCCTTTGGCTTTAGGAATTTTTAGCACCAGTAAAAATGGAAACTTCTATTTTTTCCTTTGGTGAAGACTACTTTGTTGACAAGAAATACCTGTAGTCCAGATTAAAAGAAGAAAACGTTTATGGAATAGAGAATTATTTTCAGTGAAAACAATTAAAATGATTACGAAGTCCTCTTTTTGTTGTTGTTGTTTTTTGCCTGCAAGAACAAAATGGTCATAGGCAAGAAACAAAAACATTGCTTCACCTTTGAAAGGCCTCTGGAAAAAGCTCAAAACAATTTGAAGACTACTGTCTCATCAGTTTCTTCAAGTGTTAGAATTAGGAGAGACTTGGCATTACTATAGATTTTATGAACTTATTTTAAAAAAATTCTTCATTGCAAGAAAATGAAAAATTATAATTTAAAAAATAATTTTCATGGTTACAGATATATAACAAATACCTTCACTTGGGATGTTATCTGCTATACTGAATATTCTAGATTTTTGTTAAGTAATTGTATAGAAACATAGGCACAATGTAGTACTTAAAGTAAAAATGGCTAAATGTTTCCTCATTATTAGATTGCTATTCTTGTTGAAGAAAATAATTTAATTTTTCAGTTTTTATCCTCATTCTTTAGTAATTCACTGATTAAATAGCAAATAATAACCAAGATGATTCTAGTATTATAGGGTGAAGGATTGTATATGGTAATCCAGGTCAAGTACTTGATACATTTCCTAGCACATTATTCGACCTCAGTAAATGTTAGGAATAATTTATTATTAGTAAACCAGTTTCGCGTTGTCACTAATTTATTGTGTCATCTTTGGTCAGCCATTTGTCTTTTAGGTCCTCATTTTCTTCATTTGAAAATATGGGGGAAGGTTTGAAGTAGATGATCTCTATGTCTCTTCAAACTGTAATAGATAATTCTACTTTGTAGTGTACTCAAAGTGAATGACTTCTAGGATTCTCGGGGCTTGATTTAAAGGGTATATATAGCACTTGTTATATAAATATATTGGCTATTTTTTATATAGATGCCATTTAAATAAATCCTTTCCAACAAATGTCACTGGCTGACATTAATTAATTTTTATAAAGAGCTTTGAAGATGAGAAATGGTATATAAGTGGTCATTATTATAAAGCATGAGGAGTGTAAGTTTAACATTGCTATAATGTAGTTTGAATCAGAAAATAAGATTGTATTAGAATAATTTTTAATAACACCAACAAAAAGCATGAATCCCTTTTCTGAAGGAAAGAGTGCATAAAATTATGCACATGTAATAAGTGCTTGAACATTTTATTAAATACTTTTACAATGACAAAAAATGCTGTATATGACATTCAATTCAAAAATTTCTGAAATGAATCTTAAGCACAACTGTTACTAAAATATAGAGGTCATTGCTTTTGAAAGTTTTTTAAAATAAATTGTTTGCTATTTATAATATGCATATTGGTAATTATGCCTAAAACCTTTTGGCTACCCAAGGTGGTGAGATGTTTATATACAGTAGTCCCCCTTATTCATGAGGGATACATTCCAAAACCCCTAGTGGATATTTGAGACCACATATAGTAAACAATCATATGTGTACTGTGTTTTTCCTATATATACATACCTATGGTAAAGTTTAATTTTTAAATTGGACACAGTATTCATGCACTTTGAAGCCATTATTAAGTAAAATAAGGGTTATTTGGTCACAAGCACTGTGACACTGCAACAGTAGATTTGATAATAGAGCTGGTTAGTAAGTGACTAATGGGTAGGTACATACACAGTTTGGATACACTAGACAACGGGTGGATTCACATCCTGGGGGGGGACAGAGTGGAACAGAATGATGTGTCATTGTAAACTTATGAGTTATTTGTTTCTGAAATTTTCCATTTAATATTTTTAAATTAACTGACCACAGGTAACAAATCACAGAAACTACAGGTAAAGGGAAACTGCTATAGTTTCATTTCCAGGGATAAGTTGACACTGACTCATAGTGTCTCTAAATAAATGGAATAACGAATCCTGCAAATATGTAGTGCTATGATGCTATGCAACTTAAAAGGGTTAAAATATATAAACACACTAAATTTTGATTCTACAATTCATTATATAAGTCTCTATGATAAATTTCCTTTCTACTTTAGCGTTTTATTAATTCTATATTTTACCTATTTTTAGAAACTTATTGCTAAAACATATTTCTAATACAAAGCCTTCCCTATACCAAGAAACACTACTTATCTCATTTGTAAGTCCAGAATGCTTCCTTGGAGGAGTAGAGAAGCAAGGGCAAATAATATCTATTGAGATAGCTCATCACCCACCAAATACCCCCATGCCATTCATATCTAATGTAGTCTAGTCTAAAGAGAGGAATAGATAACATATATAATAGAAATATTCTGAAAATGTTTGTTGACTTCTGCCTTAAGAATACTTGATATTCATTTTGGTGTGCCATTATTTAAACATATATATACAAAATATATAATCTAGAATATATTTCAATTAATACTTATCTAAATTATAGAGTCACTCAAAGTCAGCAGATACTTGGTAATGTGTTCATCTGTATAACCTTGCATTTTGGTACTTCAAGGACAAGTAGTTTAATTTTACATGATAGAAAATATAAGTTTTCTGATATAAGTTTTCTACTATTTTAATCATTTTTCATGTCTATGTAGACAAATATTCATTAGTAAATCCAAGTGTTTCTTAATCTTAAATGTTGAGAAAAAATATTGGCAAAAGAACCATCATCTTACAAAAAACACACACAAAATGAGGATATGATTTGTGTAAATATTTCGCCATTTGGTAAGGCTAACTGTAATTTCTCATAGCACATTTTTTTCTTCACAGTAATCCAGTGTTTGTGTATTTAACAAAGTAAAGCTGAGAGATTTTGTGTCTCATAAACTTCTTAGGAGAGTCTCTTGGCATCGTCATTTGCCACTTGCCTTTTAGTCCTCCTTGGTTCATTTATTTGAAGATGAAAAACTCAAAATGTTATAACTTGCTGATATTTTGCCTTCTTTGTTACTGTTCTTTCTTAAACATTAGAATAAAATGTTCAAGAATATTCATTGTAAGCACGTCCCTGAAGCTATTTCCCTGGGGCGATGTTCAGTTTCAAATCATGAAGATGATTTTGATAAAAGGACTTGATACTATAAAGGGAAGAATTTGTATAGGTCTGTCATCTGGCCATCCTGTGATGATAGCATTTATTTTCTCAAAACCTTGGCAGGTCTGCAAAAGAAGTCAATGAACTAAAGGTTAGACAAACATGGTGCATAGTATCACTGTATCAATACATAAGCAAGTTCAAGTTTTTCTCTATATAAAATGAAAGTTAGGGTTAAAAAAGTCATTTCTGAAACTTTTAAAGTAATTTTCTGAATATTTTGTAAAAGTTAATTTTCATAAAACATTTATAACCCAAGCACAGTAATGTTACTCTTAGAGTTGAGATCGGTAAAGGAACAAATGAGTTGAGAGAGAATTCTCTAATAACTAGCTAAAAAGTAAAAATTCTGTGAACCAACAATTTGTGATAGATGCAGCCTTAATCATGGCTTAGATCTCATCGACATCCCTTACAAAAGTACAGATAGCACTTCCCTTCATTTCCGGTATTAGATGGTAGGCCATTGCTTCAGACCTGTATTTCTGCTTGGCCTAGATTCTTCTCTACACCTATCACCAAAACTTTTGGAAAAAAGGCATGATGGAGGAGGATATGGTTCTGTGGGAAGAGAAAGAAAAGAAAAGTGACTAAAGAGAAAAATGTAATAGCTTGACATATTAGAGGACTTTAAACATATATCTGTTTATCATTTATCGCTATCCTACCATCTATCTATGCAGCTATATATCTATCAATCAACCAATCATCTGTCTGTCTATCCATCTATCTAATCCATCTACTTATCAGTCAA